CCGGCCCGACCTGCGTGCGGCAGGAGCCTGCGGGCGGCCGTGTCGCGAGAGACGCCGCCGCCGCCGCCGTGTTCCCCGTGAGCGACGCCGAGTCCGCGGCGCGTCTCGGCGGCGTCGCGCCACCAGACAATGCGGGGAGGGGGCAGCGGGGCGCATGGAGGGCGAGGCGGGCCGCTCCACCCGGCCGCGCCCCGCCCCGCGGCCGAAAGATGGATCGCATCATAGCGCCGCATTCCCGCCCCACCTGGGACCCTCCTCCTCCTCCCCCCCCCACTTCCCCTTCATAGACCCGCATCCGCGAGCGGCGTCTAGACGACACAGAGACTGCGTCGCGGGGGGAGGGGTAATCCAGAGGACGGCTCGGGGCGCAAGGCACTAAATCTATCATTCCGTTATGGGACCCACCTGCGCCACGCTCATCGCGGGCCGCGGGCCCTCCCCCCTTTTCGCTCATCCGGCTCCGAGGGCCAAGTGGAAGGCCGGACATCCGCGTCGTGTCCGCGCACGGGGGGCGACGGGGTTGTCGGGGCCGCCGTGGGGCAGGCGGAAGCTTTGACTTCGGAGAACGTCCAAAATAGTCGGCAAGTACCGCTCACAGTGCCATGCGCGGTGCTGGGCTCACTTCCGCCGTCCCTCGGAGAAAGGGCGCGTAGGGAAGGGCTGGATGCACGCGGCTGCACGCGGCGGCGGTGCGACACGCCTCGGGGAGGAGGTGAAGGAGAGTGATCCTCGTTGCGCCGGCGGAGGAAATACATTTTCCACGTCCTCTGAAAATACAAACATTAACGACCTGTCTCCTGGTTTGGGAGGCGAGCCCGGCTCTCGGCCCGGCCCCCGACGCGTGCCGACGCTCTGAGCCGCTGCCAGAGAGACATTCGGCACGATCCTAAGGGCCGTCCTGCGGCCGCATTGCTGTAGAAAGCAGCTGCCTCGTTCGGTGCGGACGACAAACATTGGCCGATGAAAACCTAATGAGTAGCAAGCAGGCTCCAATTAGTTTCCCCCGCACTCCGATCAAAAAGCCATCTTCCGGTCCGGTGCTGTTTGACATCATGTCGATTTTCAATTCCGCGAGCGTGTTTATCTCACCCACTTTCGACTACACCCTATCTTGTACTACACGAGGTGGCTCACCCACGCGGCGCATTCCTGTAGTTAAACTGTACCCGCATTCCTCCGTGCTGGCCGGTGGCCTACTCGCTCGGCCCGTAAGGCACCGTGGACAGGGATGATAAGCCCACCGCCCGCCCGCGATCGTGTGTGGTACAGTCGCGGGAACATTATTACTACAGAAGTGCGCGTGGTTAATCGACTACCTGACATATGCATGGGGTCACGGGCCGTGAGCCCATCTGGTCCCTGGCCCAATGAGTAGAAATCCCGCTCGCACCGGCGCTTACACCGAAACATCCGGTAGGCTCCTGCAAAGCGGACTCCATTTTCCGTCGGGATAAGGGTGCATGCCGCAAGTCGTTTGAATGTCAGGAGTTTGACATTTTCGTTCCGTCGCTGTCACGGAATGATCAGTTCGAACACATGTAGAGCCCCGTCGGGTCCCTCCGCTCCGCGCGGCTCTGCCTGTCGCCATGACGAGAGTGCTCTGGGAGTGATTAACTACGACATGGACAGGCAGGCGCACCGCGGCCAGCAGCCCATTGTGGCGACATGGACTCTTCATTTATCCTTGTTCTCCTGGCCCCGGCCGGCCCGGCCCTTAGCCTCGCCGCCGAGTACAGGCAGCCGCATTGGCTGCTATTTTGGCGACGACAGGCGGAGTCGACAACGGGGTACGCTGACGCCTGATCCGGCCGGAAAGAGGGAAAAGCAAAAGCAACGCGTCGTAACGACGAACACACGCATGAGCACCCCGACGCGATCGGGGGG